AGAAGAAGAAGAAGAAGAAGAAGAAGAAGAAGAAGAAGAAGAAGAAGAAGAAGAAGAAGAAGAAGATACAGAGTAGAACTGTGAGGTAGGCAGATTGGCACCTTGTCAGAGGGAAGTTGGCCTACAAAATTGCCAGTTTTCAAAATACCTTGACTTTTCTTCCCACACCACATCAGCGATGAACAATAACCAGGCACTGGATAGTGGAGCACCTCCTGTTCTGTAACCATCAACTCTGTCACTTGCTATATGAAAACCCACAAGATGAGGGGTATAAGGAACATTTCTCTGTTCCTGGCTCTGTAAGGCTGAGGCAACTCCGGGAAGGCTGCAATCAAAGGCTTTATACACCTGCAAGATCCAAGTATAGATTGACTTAAATCTCAGGAACTGTGTACTGCCTGGTGACTCTGAGAAGCAGTTAGGGAGGCGAGCTCGTCACTGGCAGGCAACAATGGACGAGAGTCAGAAGGCTTGCCCAGCCTGTTGAGAGCCACTAGATCCACAGCACATTCACATCCAACCTCAGCCACAGTCTCTCCTCTGCCCTGTGACTAAGTGTGTGGGAAAGCCACCTTAGAGTAATAGAATACAATTGAAAGCCAGAGCTTCTGGGCTTGGGTCCCAGTTTTGCCATTTATTGGTTGCATGGTCTTGAATTAAACTCTTAGTGTCTTCTTAGCTATAAAACAGGAAATTGCTAGGAAATACTTTGAAAACCATCCTGCACAATGTGAACATTAGGTATCATTCTTTTTAATGAGGCAAAGATATTTTCTTTTCTGTTTACCCTTGGCATGTTATTTTCTCTTCTGTTGGCTTAATCATGTACTGCATGAGGGCACCTCTAACATAAGAACTCTTAGTTCAGAGCCTTTAGCACAAAGTTGGCATAAAAAATGTAAAAAAAAAAAAAAAAGAAGAAGAAGAAGAAGCTTTGGTTTTAAGTCTCAGTTTTATTGTATTTTAGAAAAAATGAGCATGAGTAATTAATAGTCTTCTTTGATCTCTAGTTCCATTTATAAAAAGTGGAAGAAAGAGAAGGAAAAGCAAGAGATCAAGAAGAGGAGGAGAAGGAAAAGTAAGAAGAAGAGGAGGAGGGGAGAAAGAAGAGAAGGGAAAGAGGACGAGAAAAGAGAAAAAAATAAAAGAAGTGGAAAGAAAAGAGAAAGAGCAGCTATTGTGCAAAACACAATTGCTACTCAACAACAAAAAGTCAATGAATTTTATTTCTCTTCACACTTTGCCACCATACCCAGTCCTTAACCCTGTGTCATAACCACTTGGCACAGGTGGGACTAGGCCTAAAGGACAGGGAACTGGCCAAGCTACATGATCTGCGGTAAAAGAATGCTGAATAAAGAAAATGCGTGTGTGTCCTTGATTTTTTTTTTTTTACAGTCTGGCTTATACAATTACAGTCATGCAAATAACCCAGAAAGCTGAAAGCTTTAGAGAGTGTGTCAATCCAAAATCAAGTGTGTCATTATCTATGGATATCTGAACAACGCCCTAATTGTCCCTTACTCCACCATGACTATGCTGAGGCCCTGCCAGCTTCAGGAGGGTCTTAGTCCTTGCACAAAGGACAGGAACAAGCATTTGGTGAGCATCTGTCATGCCCCAGGCCTGTACCGGGCACTCGGGTGCATGTTGTACTACATTTTAGTTGTGCTTTCACTCCTGGTGTCCTTTCTCACTCCTTCCACGTTTTAGACTTGTTGACAAAAGGCAAGTTGAAGGACAGATCTCTTCTCTTGAGATGTGGAAGGCAAGATTCTTGCAACATAGATGTTATATAATATTTATTTCCAGATTTTTTTAAAAAAAATACTTTTTACATAATCTCAGTGATCTTTTCTAGATAATGGGCATTGCATTCTTTAAGGGAGTCAAACAAGGATGAAGAATTCTGGTGTGCCAGTGACTTTTTTACTCATCTTCACCATGGTCTTCAATTGCATAATCTCTAAAAAGGGAACATTTAACCTGAATCCCCACAGTCCCACGAGGATATAGACCTGTGGGTCTGATGTTCTGAGCTTTGCTGTTTTTCAGAATAAGAATCCTATACAATAAAATCCTTTCTGCTCTTTATCACTGAGCAAACCCAAGATCCTAAATTCTTCTCACGAGTTTTCAAAAGCATTTTTGTTGGCCAGTGAGGCAAAGAAAGAAGAAAGAAAGAAAGAAAGAAAGAAAGAAAGAAAGAAAGAAAGAAAGAAAGAAAGAAAGAAAGAAAGAAAGAGAAAAAGAAAAAGAAAAAAGAAAAAGAGCCTTCCCCAAAGATTAAGTAAAGAGAGAGTTAACTATTGAGCCATACAAAAATAATTTAACTGTCACACAGGCATGGATGTTGACACCAGACTCCCTGGGCAGGAACAAGGGTCCCCGCTCCCACCCTTCCTGAGCAGAGGGCAGCACTCCTCACAGCCCACCATCATGGTCCTCCTGTTGCAGGGAGCTGTGTCACTGGCCTTCTGCAGGCCAGCATCTGTGTCATACTGATCTTTACCAGAACTTCCATCTCCTCAACACAGAGCAGTCATTCAGGGAACAAGTCTAGGATGAAAAAATCTATTCGATGGTTTTGGATTGGAATTACAGGGCCTCCCTGCTCTATAAATATGACAATAGCGGTTCCCTGGTTCTTTGCAGCATCTCATCCTCCGAAGGTCCCCAGATCCTAAATTCACCTGGGAGTTAACTGAGGCTTCTGCCCCCCTCCCCAAACATACCCAATCAGAGTCCCTCTGGGAACTGGGAGCCCTATCTCTCCTCCCCAAAGACTCAATGCATCCGTTGAGCAGAGTCAGCAAACCATCTCAAAATAGAAATCAAGTGCATGAGTGTTAAAAAATCAAAAATAAAACGAACAAACCAAAACCCATCTTCTCCAACCTCTGCCACTGGGTTCAGGGTGCTGTCCCAGGGAACCATAATCCACAGTGTCCAAACATGTCAAGAAAAGTTAGGGCACAAGAGCTCCAAGTGAGCTGTCCATCAGCTCAGCTGCAGCAGGACCCAGAAAGGCAGTTGATGAGCGCCTCCACCTACCTGCCAACTCCCAATCCATTGCCTCCGCCTACCTGCCAACTCCCAATCCATTGCCTCCGCCTACCTGCCAACTCCCAATCCATTGCCTCCGCCTACCTGCCAACTCCCAATCCATTCCAAGGTGCTGTTCCAAAGGGCTTCCCAGCTCCCATGGCTCTAAGAGAAGGTGGCACAGGAGGCTGCCAGCTTCCCAACAGGAGCCACTTGCTCAATATTTCTCTTCAGGGCATTTTTTGTAAACAACTATTTTTAAACTGCTTACTCAGTGTAAAGTCCTGACCCAGATTTCTATCTCGGCCCCAGGTATCCCCTTTTTTTCCTACTTAATATGTCTTTTTAGTGTTTTAGATTATTATTTTGTTTTCATTCGACCCCTTTTCTTACAGTGGAGCCTGCTGCTCTTGATTTTAAAGGGCTCCTGCCAAACTGTAACTGAGAAGCCCCGGCTGGGGGCAGGTGGTTCTGCCTGCAGCATGACGAGCAATCGCCTCCCCACTGTGCAGAGCTCAGCCTGCAGAGGGGCGACCCCAGGAGATTCCTGCCAGGCTTTTATCACCAAAGCAGAGTGCACCTGCTGCTCGGAGACAGCGTAAACCCCAGAACTGAAGGGCAGGCAGGGATGTGGCACGACCAGGGCTGGGCAAGTGTTCAACACGTGGTGAATAAATGAAGCTATCCAGTAAGCTGTAGTAACCGAAGCAGTGAGGAAGACCCCGGCATAGAGCCTGGCTCATAGCAGGTATCCAACAAGCGTCACTTTCTTACCATTGCTGTCACATGTAGCTCTGATTTTCTAGCTGGATGCCAACAGATCTGAGAAGAAAATTACACATTCTAGCCTTCTTCCTGGGGGGATCAACCTGCAGCAAAATTAACTCAGTGCAGCATCACACAACTCACTGGAGTCTGTGTATTTTGCTGAAATGCTGTCCAGTTAATGGTACTAGCGAGGCACTGTGCTGATGTGGGTGGTCCAGGATCTTCATTCATGCAGAGATAACACAAAGATCCACTATGAAAAACTCTGAATGCTTCCACCCCAACTCTTGCTCCAGCCAAAATGTTTCCAGGACCAAGTTCTCTTTCCATTCCAGCACCAATATTTTATTTTTGTCCACTATCTATGGAGCCATCCAAACCCAGCAGGACCAAATA